CCCACAGACTCAGGCAATCCACTCACCTCGGCCTCCCAAAGTGCTGAGATTACAGGCTGAGCCACCAAGCCTGACTGAATTTATCTTTTTAACCTTGTTCAATATAGTCCCTGATATATACTAATTTTAATAGCTTTTTGTTAAATAAGTAAATAAATATGCAGCATTGATGTGATATCCTCCAATAATGAGTTGTAGTTTTGGCTGTGTGTCAAGTTCATACTTTTAAGTGCCAAACTCTATCATTTGGGCCATTTTTTAATTAAAAAAAAAAACTCTTCTGAAATATGATATACCCTATCTTGCTTTCACTCAGGATAGTTTCACACAGCATGCGCCAATAGACTGTCTTTGATGATGTTTTGCACTGTCCGGGATGGTAGCCACTAGACACAGGGGGTTCTCGAGTCTTTGAAATATGGATGATACAACTGAGACACTGAGTTTTACATTCTGTTTCGTCATAACTAATGAAAACTTAAATTTAAATAGCCACGTGGGACTAGTGGCTGTTGTACTGAGCAGTGAAATCTTAGTGCCCTGCCTGTTTGGAGGCTGGTCTCCTGGCAGCCTCATCACTCCAAATAAATACCCCCTAACACATAGAGCTTGTGCACTCTCGGTGTTTCATACTGACTTTTGCTCATACCAGAAATGTTTTCAAGGTCAGCTCTTTTCTTGTTATGCCCTTAACGTACTAGTAGCAGTAACCAGAAGGCATTGTGCCGAGGAGAGAGTTGCAGGAACATGGGAATCAATACAGATGAGCAACAAAAAAAAAGAAAAACTGACAAGTTCAGCTAGCATTAGGTAGAAAATAGAAAAAATAAAACACCTTGTCTGCAAAGCTAATAACTGACTTAATAATGAAAATGTTCCTGTATTATATCCCATATGTTTTTTTTTTTTTTTTTTTTTTTTTGAGTTGGAGTCTCATTTCGTTGCCCAGGCTGGAGTGTAGTGGCACCCCTACGGCCACCCCAGCATCGATCTACTGGGCTCCAGCGATTCTTTCACCTCAGCCTTCCAAGTAGGTGGAACTACAGGTGCACGCTACCGTGCCTGGCTAATTTTTTGGTTCATTGTAGAGACGAGGTCTCGCCAAGTTGCCCAGGCTGGTCTTGAACCCACAGGCTCAGGCAATCCACTCGCTTCGGCCTCCCAAAGTGCTGGGATTACAGACTGAGCCACTGAGCCCTGCAACCCCACATCTTTAAAATAAAATAAATTAAAAATAAATTAAATGAAAACTTGATTTTTGTTTGGATTTATCTGTATAGAAGGCAGATAGATAAATAGATAATAGATACATAATATATAAGTATTTTAAATAAAATTTCTTGAGAAAATATACTAATACTTGTCTGTGAGTGGGTGAATTTTAAATATTTGGGAAGTATACCTCATTCTTAAGTGGTGCCAAATAATAGAAGTCCACTGGATATGCATATTCATGTACAAACATGCACATGTTTACATGCATACAGACATTGAAATATTGTTCAGATAGATAAGAGGATTTTAGACAAGTGGGATTATAGCAAAATAATTTAGCTGTTCTTCATAAGATTTTTCTCATCTAGATCAAACATTACCAAAGTTATCATTTTATTAAGAGTTATCTTCTAAGCCGGACTCGGTGGCTCAGCCTGTAATCCCGCGCCTTTGGGAGGCTGAGGTGAGTGGATTGCCTTTGCCCGCAGGTTCGAGACCCTCCTGGGCAGTGAGACCTCATCTCTACAATAAATCAAAAAAATCAGCCGGGCGTGGTAGCGCATGCCTGTAATTCTGGCTACTTGGAAGGCTGAGGCAGAAGGATCGCCGGAGCCCAGCAGGTCGAGGCTGCAGTGTCCGGAAGCAGCCACTGCACTCCAGTCTGGGCAACAGAGTGAGACTCCAACTCAAAAAAAAAAAAAAAAGAGTTGTCTTCTCACTTTTGAAGCATGTGCAAAAGTTATTTGTGTCAATGAACTAATTAAATGTTCTTTTCCAACTGAACCTGTAATCTATGTAGTGCTAGAAAAAAAGTAAAGGAACATCACTCAATTAGCTGCTTGTTTTGTCTACATACTTGCCAAGAAATCATTGACAAAACTGTTTGGAGTATATCTTTAAGTAATACCTGGAATTGTTATACTTTATTTTTAAAAAATCATTCTATTTATAGTTATAACACTTTATGCTTTGTGATTTTCATATTAAGGAGTTTAAACTAAAAAATGTCTACAATTTTTATAAATTGGCTTATAAATTTAAAGCATATGCCGGGCTCGGTGGCTCAGCCTGTAATCCCGCGCCTTTGGGAGGCTGAGGTGAGTGGATTGCCTGAGCCTGCGGGTTCGAGACCCGCCTGGGCAGCGAGACCTCATCTCTACAATAAATCAAAAAATCAGCCGGGCGTGGTGGCGCATGCCTGTAATTCCGGCTCCTTGGAAGGCTGAGGCGGAAGGATCGCCGGAGCCCAGCAGGTCGAGGCTGCGTTGGCTGACAGCGGCCACTGCACTCCAGTCTCAGTGACAGAGTGAGACTCCAACTCAAAAAAAAAAAAAAAATTTAAAGCATATATGCTAACTCTGGCTATTTAATTTCAGATAGAAAATTAAAAAAAAAATAATATGTAGTGTTTTAGAAGCTTGGCAACTGAAGCATGTATTTCCTTAACTCTTAGGTATTCAATACCCTGACCAAAGCCAGATGAGTTTCCCATTCTGGGACACAGCCTGTATGAGGTTGTCAGCAATTTTTTTCTCCTAAATAAAAATACATCTGGACAACCATGACACAATAGTCACAAGCTCACAGAATCTAGCCCATTTTCCTGCCACTGACTTTGAATGCTGGACTGCCACCAGGTGTCATGGTAGCATTTTAATTGGAGCTTAGTATACTTAATTAAATATTTCTGAGCTGGTCAAATTTAACTGTACTAAAGTTATATCATGAAACAGGAGTCTAACGGGGCATTGCCAAGTTCAGGGAAAAGGCTATAAATAAGTTCTTCTTGTGAACTAGGGAAAACAGTTGACTTGTGTATTTCTCCTTGCTGAGCTCACATCCCTGTGCTTTTGATGTTGCTTTCATCTACTCCAGTTAACTTACAGCAGATCATGTATTTGTGATCATGGGGCTTATAATAAAAAAAAACTCTCAAGGTCCTGCTTTAAAGTCAGTATTACACACAAATGCACACATACATTTCATACACTCAACCTAAACCTTGCATATCAGCTGGCTTTTATCATCTTAGGGAATTCAAAGTCTACATTGGTCGAGTTTTGAGCATCTGCTGCAAAAGCATAGAGACCACCTAAGTGAAGGTACAATAGCAGGCATGACTGTAGTTTCTAAAGATACACCGTGTACCTGTGTGGGTGGATCTTGGAGGCAACCCCAGGACCTGCACACCTGTTCCAGAACACCCCATGGCAGTCATCCTAAAAACAGATTGCTCCAGATTTCTTGGCCAAACTTCTAGACTGAGAGAGCCTTGACGGATACACAGCCTTTCTTCCTGTGGAGCACTTTGTCTGCCTTATTAAAATGTAAAAATATCATTAAAAGCTTTTCCCGGAAAAGTAATGAAGGATATTTTTGAACAGAAAATGAGTACTAAGACCCCGTGTGGACATTTTGCAGACCCCCAGTCCGCCTATGCCAACTTGTGGTATTCTCTAAAAGTTTATTCTCTAGCTTCAGAAGAAAACCAAGTGTTAACTGTGTGCAGTGTCTTCTGTTTTGAAGGAGACACTGAGATAACTAAATGATGTCATGCGGTACAAAGTCCACGGCAAAGCAGTAACACATGCCAGTTGTTGTTTCTTCAGTAATTCTTAGACAAAATAACCCTGCTGAAGAGAAGAGGGCTTAAGTGAGAAAGCAAATGTGTTATCCTTTGTAGCACATTTAAATTTTAAAAGGCAGAACATATATTTTTAAAATATAAATACTCTGCCTTTAGAGCCTAGCATTAAAAGGAAATGTAGCCGGGCTCGGTGGCTCAGCCTGTAATCCCGCGCCTTTGGGAGGCTGAGGTGAGTGGATTGCCTGAGCCCGCGGGTTCGAGACCCGCCTGGGCAGCGAGACTTTATCTCTACAATAAATCAAAAAATCAGCCGGGCATGGTAGCGCACGCCTGTAGTTCCAGCTACTTGGAAGGCTGAGGCGGAAGGATCGCCGGAGCCCAGCAGGTGAGGCTGCGGTGGCCGGGAGCGGCCACTGCACTCCAGTCTGGGTGACAGAGTGAGACTCCAACTCAAAAAAAAAAGGAAACGTATATGAATTGCAAGATGAAAGATGTGTTGGATTCATGCCAAGGTTCTAACCATCCCCTTGAAGTAGTGTCAGTAGGTGAATTCCAGCAGACTTAAAGATAAAGAGAGTAATTGTCTTCACACCGCTTCGAAATGTGCATGTTTAGGTTAAAAGTCACTGTAAGGGAAAGAACACATTTTGTTCCTAGTTTTGGCACCCAGGAGTGTAAGGTTGCCTTTTAAGTTCGTAATTACCACCATTGCAATTATATAACTATTCCCAATAGAAAGAGATCATTACCAAAGCTGAGCTTTGGTAGTATCGATCACAACTTTATGCCCAAAGAATTCTATTCATTTTTCTAAATATTTCTATTTCCTCAAGTCACCTGTTCTTAGGAAATTAGAATGGAATTTGATTCTTTCTTAAACAGTAAGACTTGACTCATATAAATATAGAAAACCAAATGCTTAAATTATTAATCTGCTTAATGTGACTTCTTTTTAGCAGGGAAGTGAACAGGTAGATATTTGAAAATGAAAGTTATCCTTTGGGCTTCACGGACAGGTGTGAAGACTTGACTTGTCGTGTAACATGGAGTAGATTCCAACTGCAGGGCAGTCCTTTCCAGAGGCACTGTGTGTGGGCACAGACCTTAGCGCCCAACTGTCCCAAAGAGTCTCACTGTGATACCACTTGTCTCTTTGTGGGTTATAAAACCACATGTGGACTTTTTTTTGTCTCTACAGGTCTTTGCTTGGCTGTTCTTTCCCATGTCTTCTGTGCCAGGTACTCCATGTTTGCAGCTAAACTTCTGACTCACATGATGGCCGCCAGTTTAGGTACCCAGGTAGGAGAGTGCTGGCGTTTCTGATGTACTGTGGGATGTTTGCGTTTCTTCCTTGACCCTTGAACTAATGTACCAGTGAGGCTTACTCTCTACTTAGTTGAAATGAGCTTGCTTAGTTTTGCAGTGGAAGAGGACAAGGGAGGAGGGTGGTGGAAGGAAATGAGAGTATCAGGTCTCAAATGTGTGTCTTGTGAGCTTCTTTCTGCAGAGAAATATCTTAATATCATCATCACTTACAAGGAAATAGCTTCCTATCACAAAGCATCCTATTGTCAACTAATATATGCTGAGTACATTACTAATTCATATATACATTAAAATTATAGCATGTTTAATCTCTTTGAATGAAATATGCTATGTTGTAAGGTCTTATATGAAGGTCATTAAGGTGATATATACTTTAAAACATCTGGATCATATATTGCTTCACTGAATATGACAGAATACAGTTTGGTAGAACATTCTCTTTCAAGCAATTGTTTGGTTGTCTTTGGTAGAAGGATTAATGTGGAAAACATCGACTTATTCATTAGCAGGCAATTTAAAGCACCCAGATTACAGCACAGTGAAGGCCCAGAAGTCAGATCAGAAGGTGAAATCAAATGCTTCTTCTCTCCATGGTACTCATAGTCTAGGAAAGTAGATGTACACATAACTGTGATGGGTAAACACAGACTATTTGCAAATATAAATGAGGACTTCATTCACTTTTCTGTGAAGGTCGAGGAAGTCTTCACAGAGGAGGTGATATTTGAGCTGAAAATCAAATAAGTAAAATTTCACAGTTTGTAGATAAGGAGTGAAAAGGACATAGCATAACCACTCTACTTTAAGGCTGAAATTATAGATCCAGGCAAGAAGAGTATGCTGTATGATGTTCTTATTGGGAGAACTTCTTTTAATATTGTTTGATAACATTTTTTAAAATCCCACTTTTTTGGATGGGGGGGGACCAGTACTCTGTTTTTGGATTGGGTTCTGGTTATCAGTGTATGCTCAGTTTATGTACATTTATTGTGCTGTATACTTATAATTTGACACTATCTTTTAGAATGCTGAAGTACATTTTGTTGAACTTTGAACAGAACTTGAGAAAATAGCACTAGCAGAGGAGCTGAAATATAAAATGGAAAATTATCTGGGACATTGGAATTCTGTTGCCTTTTTTTGTCCCAGGAGTGAAAATGACCAGTAAATTTCATAACTCTATTTTTCAGGGAACAATTAAGTGCTGAATTCTAAGCAGAGGTCCAAGATTGTGTTTTTAAAGTACTTGTGAGCTAGCAGTGGTTACCAAAAGGGGCTTACCTTGAATTTGACAAGCCTATTTATATTGCCTCCATAACCTGTCTTCCTTGTCTAGTCTTGCCTTTGCTTCTTGTATGCAAGATCTTAGAAAACCCGCCTTCCATAATTAGAGTTTACTTGGCTGTTTTCACCAGCCACACTGGTGATTTTTTGGCAGCAGAATTTGTACAAGACTTAATTATAGCACTATAGAATTACAGACAACTCTTCTGTGTCCTCGCAGACAAATTTGCTCATGTCTAGGGATATGAAAGAAAGACCCAGGGTTGATATGTCCGGACTTGGCCTCCTGATTCATATTGTTCCTCACATTGATTTTGGATAAAATGGTTTGTCAAATCCATGTGTTTTTGTTGTTGTTGTTGTTTGGGGTTTTTTGGTATATTTTGAGAACAGATGAAGCAATGCAACATGAAACATCATATATTGTGTGACTTGTGACATGAAATAACTAAGGTATTTTCACAGCTTATTTTTTGGCAGGAAGAATTGGTATATTATTGAGGAGAAATATTGTTTTTCTCAAGATGGTTTATGTAGCTACTTTGATTTTTAAAATACTCTCCAAGTTAAAAAGAAAACTTTTCTTTAAAAACAAAAAAAAAAACCCAGCTTGGCTAAGACTTTAAAAAATTCTTAGACCCTCCAGAACAAGAAATGAAACTGGCTGCAGGAACTTGGTCCCCCACCCTCTCTAAATGTTGAAATCACATTTAGCCCCAGTTACATAAACTTGCCAACGGAGGTTATTACAGTAACGACCTTGAACCTTTCTTTTGGGGTCCTCCATCAGTGTTCTGGTGACATCCTTAGAGTTTAAATTCTCTCCAGAGGAGTTTTCAAAAATGCAGGCTTGGCCTGTGGTTCTCTGGCTAAGAGTGTGAAACGTGTATTGCTGACCAGGAGTGTTTGAGTTGTGAATACTTTGCAGACAGGTCTGCCAAGACCACTCAGTCTGAGATCTTTATTGCTGAGCTAGGACTAAGTAGAATGGCTTTTGTGGGAAAGGAAAGAATGGAAATGTGATCGTTTCAAGCTTCCTTTTGGAGCAAAGTGGTATAATATGTTTGTGAACCGGGCTATCAGGAAAATATGCCCAAGTCTGGCTCTACTTACTATTTCTAGAAATATATAGAACTTTATAGCCATAATTTATCATACAATTTGTATGTGTATTGTACACATATCTATAACTGGAGGAGGATAGGCAAAAATCCAAAGATTATTCCTGCTTTAAAAGTCAAAAATCTGAAGTTTTTCTGGCACTTTAGAGTCATTGACTATGAAATACCAGCAGGTGGCAGTAGAAGTTTTTTTTTTGTTTTTGTTTTTTTTTTCCTTTTTTTGGGCAAAATTTGTCAGTCTTTCTTTAGCCATGATGGAGTTCAGTAAAAAACTTGAGAGATGTTTTCAGAATACTTCTATAACTGGCTAGAGAGTGTCTGTCTGCAACATAATAAATACACATTTGTCGTTTCCTACCTTTGCCTTTTTATCACCTTTATTCAGAATTTAACTAAATGTATTAGTAAGGCACATAAGAAAGTATGTACGTCACTGGCTTTGGATATATATTTCTGCCACTTATCATATATACTTAAATTCAGGGACATAAACTTATTTTTCTCATTATATTTAATGTTCATTAAGAAATGTATTATCAATATAGAAACATGTTTATTAGAATGTCATAGTTACAAGTTTTGAGCTAACGTCTATATTTTCAGTGTATCAAAAAATTTGCTGGTAAGGATGGCTATCATTAAAAAGTCAAAAAACAATAGGTGCTGGCACGGCTCTGGAGAAAAGAGAATGCTTCTACACTGTTGGTGGGAATTGTAAACTAATTCAACCTTTGTGGAAAGCAGTGTGGCAATTTTTCAAAGAACTAAAAATTGAGGTTTCATATAATCCAGCAATCCGTCTTCTGGGACTATACCCAGAGGAACATGGATTGCTCTATTTAAAAGACACCTGCACACCTATGTTCATTGCAGAACTAATCACAATAGCAAAAACATGGAACCAACCCAGATGCCTATCGAAAGTGGACCTGATAAAGAAGATGTGGTACATATACATGGTAGAATATTATGGAACCATAGAGAAGAACAAAATCTTGACCTTTCCAACATGGAGGCAGCTGGAGGCCATCATACTAAGTGAACTGTCATAGAAGCAAAGAACTGAAGACTGCATGTTCTCACTCATAAGCAGGCCCTGGTAACTGATCACATGAGCACAAGGGTGGGATTGGCAGACGCTGGACACTGCTAGGGAATGGGGAGCATGTGGCAACTCACTGAGTACCCAGTCCATGATGAGGGGGAGAGTGGGCCCAGCTAGAAACCCATACTTCACCTGCATGCAACCTACTTATGTAGGAAATCGTCACTTGTACCTCACAACTCTAAAAAGAATAAATCTACAAAGCCAAGAATAATTTTCAAAAAAATAAAAGTTTGTATTTTTCTTCAATGCCAAGTTAATTTTTCCCACTTATCTCAAAGAAAATAATTAAATGGCAAGAAATTATGGGTCCATTCACTTCAAGTATAAGGTGGAAAACAGCAAACATTTTCATGGTGTTGGGTGATATTTCTGGGAAAAAGATCTAATTATATCTTTGGGATTTTTATCTGGGAATCACATTGCCAGCCCATGTATGCCCTGATAAGACTGGTAAACAGCCAGGACAAAGGACAAGTTTGCAGTTCAGTGTTCTCGGTTCTGGAGGTTCTGTCAGGAAAAGCAGTTCTCTTAATCTAAAAAAAGAACAGTGGTTTCCTCATAGAAAACATGATAAGGGAGAACTGCATTGATTCTGATTAATAATATCTAACAGGAGGGAAATATTTGGTTTTCTTTCTGCTTCTTTGCTTGTTGTTTGTGTGACTTAAACACATTTTCTGAAACCGCATAGCAAATTTGTCTAGAAAAAAAAATGTGTGTAAGTACGACTGTATTTGCCAGCAAACTTACACGTTGTCCAGATTCAGCTGACCATGTGACTATTTGAGACTCGAAAGGTTTTGGTAGCCATTCTGGATGCAGGGTTTTAGCCACATAGGCCTCTCTCTCCTTAAGAACAGAGAAGTGAATTTTGCCTTAACATTCAGAGGACTTCTCTCTGGAATTCAGTGAAAGGTGGGGCTGTGGGTGTCTTTGGTCTAGTTTCTTATTCTGCCACATTTGGGATGTTATTTTGCAGTGCTTTTTGCCCAGGGGGGATCCTGATCAGACACCTCTGCTCAAAGATTCTGCTTGAATCTGGAGTGCATGTCATTCTAGCTTTGAGTATCTAGCATCCTTTGGAGTCTTTGAGAATCTTTGCGTGTAATCGAAGGCAGAAGCCACGTGTGACCTCCCAAACGCCAGTGCGCGCTTTATCCTGTGGGCTCTGGTTTCTGTCCCATAGCCGGCACTGTTTTGTTATGATTGCTAACTCAAAAAAGCCGTTGTGTGAGGGCCTCAAGAGGCGATCCAACAAGCATGCTTTAATCAATTGAGGTGGAGTGAGACAGAGATAGATTGTAAAATGTTTGTTCATCAGACAGCATTTTCCTTAGTTGGAAATGTTGGTTAATCACTTACTATCCAGAATACCCTTTTTATTTCTACTTTGTTACTGAGGGAAAAAAATGTATTGAAGTGTTTAAGGACAAAGATCAAAATTGGTTCTTGCTTTGAAG